GGCCTGCCGGTTGTTGGAGAATTCTGTAACATATCATATATGTTTTTTTACTTCTTTAGTCACACTGTCTGTCCGTCGCTAGAAAGTTGAGTTACTTGACCTATCTGGTGTGTAAGGGTTGAGTTACTTGATATATCTTGTGTGTAAGGGTTAAGTTACTTGATATATCTTGTGTGTAAGGCTTGAGTTACTTGATATATCTGGTGTGTAAGGCTTGAGTTACTTGACCTATCTGGTGTGTAAGGGTTAAGTTACTTGATATATCTTGTGTGTAAGGGTTAAGTTACTTGACCTATCTGGTGCGTAAGGGTTAAGTTACTTGACCTATCTGGTGTGTAAGGGTTAAGTTACTTGACCTATCTGGTGTGTAAGGGTTAAGTTACTTGATATATCTTGTGTGTAATGGTTTAGTTACTTGACCTATCTGGTGTGTTAGGGTTAAGTTACTTGATATATCTGGTGTGTAAGGGTTTAGTTACTTGACCTATTTGGTGTGTAAGAGCTGAGTTACTTCACCTATCTGGTGTGTAAGAGTCGAGTTACTTGACCTATATGGTGTGTAAGGGTTTAGTTACCTCTCCTATCAGGTGTGTAAGAGTCGAGATACTTGACCTATCTGATGTGTAAGGGTTGAGTTACCTGTCCTTTCTGGTGTGTAGGAGTTAACTTACCTGACTTATCTGGTGTGTAAGATTTGAGTTACTTGATACATCTTGTGTGAAAGATTAGAGTTATTTTGCCTATCTTATGTGTAAGAGCTGAGTTACTTGATATATATTGTGTGTAAGATGAGAGTTATTTGACCTATCTGGTGTGTAAGAGTTGAGTTACCTGTCCTATCTGGTTTGTAGGAGTTCACTTGATATATCTTTGTGTGTAATGGTTTGATTACGTGACCTATCTGGTGTGTATGTGTTGAATTGCGTGACTTACCTGGTGTGTAGGAGTTGATTTACTTGACCTATCTGGTGTGTAAAAGTCGAGTTACGTGACCTATCTGGTGTGTAAGAGTTGAGTAACTTGACCTATCAAGTGTGTAAAAGTCGAGTTACAAGACCTATCTGGTGTGTAAGAGTTGAGTTACCTGTCCAATCTGGTTTGTAAGAGTTGATTTACTTGAACTAACTGGTGTGTAAGAGTTGATTTAGTTGACCTATCTGGTGTGTAAGAGTTGAGTTACTTGACCTATCTGGTGTTTAGAACTTGTTTAAACTGAACTATCTGGTGTGTAAGAGTTGAGTTACCTGTCCTATCTGGTGTGTAAGAGTTGAGTTACTTGACCTATCTGGTGTGTAAGTGTTGAGTTACTTCATATATCTTGTGTGTAAGAGTCCACTTACTTGACCTATCTTGTGTGTAAGATTTGAGTTATTTTGCATATCTTGTGTGTAAGAGTTGAGTTACTTGATATATCTTGTGTGTAAGATCAACGTTTTTTGACCTATCTGGTGTGTAGGAGTTGATTTACTTGACCTTACTGGTGTGTAAGAGTTGATTGACTTGACCTATCTGGTGTGTAAGAGTTGAGTTATTAATATATCTTGTATGTGAGATAAGATTTATTTGACCTATCTGGTGTGTAAGAGTTGAGTTACCTGTCCTATCTGGTGGGTAAGAGTTTAGTAACCTGACCTGTCTGGTGTGTAAGAGTTGAGCTACTTGATAAATCGTGTGTGTAAAAGTTGATTTACTTGACCTATCTTGTGTGTAATGGTTGAGTTACGTGACCTATCTGGTGTGTATGAGTTAAATTACTTGACTTATCTGGTGTGTAGGATTTGAATTACTTGACTAATCTGGTGTGTAGGAGTTGATTCACTTGACCTATCTCGTGTGTAGGAGTTGATTTACTTGACCTATCTCGTGTGTAGGAGTTGATTTACTTGACCTATCTGGTTTGTAAGAGTTGAGTTACTGTATCTGTCTCTGCGTTACAGTGTAATTACCTGTGTGTGTGTGTGTGTGTGTGTGTGTGTGTGTGTGTGTGTGTGTGTGAGTGTGTGTGTGTGAGTGAGTGTTTGTGTGTGTGTGTAAATGTGTTGTCGTTTCATCTTTCTGTCTTGTTCTAGTTTACTTTCTTGATCTGTTTGTCGTGTACGAGTTTTCTTGATCTGTTTGTCGTGTACGAGTTTTCTTGATCTGTTTGTCGTGTACGAGTTTTCTTGATCTGTTTGTCGTGTACGAGTTTTCTTGATCTGTTTGTCGTGTACGAGTTTTCTTGATCTGTTTGTCGTGTACGAGTTTTCTTGATCTGTTTGTCGTGTACGAGTTTTCTTGATCTGTTTGTCGTGTACGAGTTTTCTTGATCTGTTTGTCGTGTACGAGTTTTCTTGGTCTGCCTGTCTTGTTCGAATCTAGTTTCCTAATCTACCTATTTTGAAGAGTTTAAATTCTTTTTGTGTCTATTATTTAAAAGTTTATTTGTGTGATCTACTGTTTGTGTCTATTATTTAAAAGTTTATTTGTGTGATCTACTGTTTGTGTCTATTATTTAAAAGTTTTTTGTGTGATCTACTGTTTGTGTCTACGATTTAAAAGTTATTTGTGTGATCTACTTTTTGTGTCTATTATTTACGAGTTTTTTGTGTGATCTACTGTTTGTGTCTATTATTTAACAGTTTATTTGTGTGATCTACTGTTTGTGTCTATTATTTAAAAGTTTATTTGTGTGATCTACTTTTTGTGTCTATTATTTAAAAGTTTATTTGTGTGATCTACTGTTTGTGTCTATTATTTAAAAGTTTATTTGTGTGATCTACTGTTTGTGTCTATTATTTAAAAGTTTATTTGTGTGATCTACTGTTTGTGTCTATTATTTAAAAGTTTATTTGTGTGATCTACTGTTTGTGTCTATTATTTAAAAGTTTATTTGTGTGATCTACTGTTTGTGTCTATTATTTAAAAGTTTATTTGTGTGATCTACTGTTTGTGTCTATTATTTAAAAGTTTATTTGTGTGATCTACTGTTTGTGTCTATTATTTAAAAGTTTATTTGTGTGATCTACTGTTTGTGTCTATTATTTAAAAGTTTATTTGTGTGATCTACTGTTTGTGTCTATTATTTAAAAGTTTATTTGTGTGATCTACTGTTTGTGTCTATTATTTAAAAGTTTATTTGTGTGATCTACTGTTTGTGTCTATTATTTAAAAGTTTATTTGTGTGATCTACTGTTTGTGTCTATTATTTAAAAGTTTATTTGTGTGATCTACTGTTTGTGTCTATTATTTAAAAGTTTATTTGTGTGATCTACTGTTTGTGTCTATTATTTAAAAGTTTATTTGTGTGATCTACTGTTTGTGTCTATTATTTAAAAGTTTATTTTTGTGATCTACCTTTTGTGTGGACATTAAGTCACTTGTGTTTCTGGTTGTATAAGAGTTTAGTGACTCCATCTATGTGTTTTGTAAGAATTTACTTGTATGATCCATCTGTTGTCTAACAGTTTAGTTACTCCATCTATGTGTTGTGTAAGAATTTACTTGTATGATCCATCTGTTGTCTAACAGTTTAGTTACTTAACCTGTCTTCTGTATGAGAGTTTAAGTTATTTGTTTCCCTTCTTCTGCAGTATACGTCTAATGTGAGCTATCTATCTATGCCAACTGAGACGAGAAAGTCAGTTGTCTAGAGCAGTTTTGATCCTATTCTGATGTATGGAAGTAAATCATGCACAGTTAATCGATTAGTGACAAATTGTTTGGAAGGGACGGATTGATTTTATAGACGAATGATGAGAATACAATGAACAGATAAAAGCGAGTAATGAAGACGTCTTGAATGAAATTGAACCACGAAGAGAACTGATTGCTAACATCAGAAGGAGACAAGAATCTACACGAGAATGACAAAACTTGACTGCATCGTGACAGTGGGAAAGGTGGAGTAAAAGAGAAGCAGAAGGTAAAAAGTAAAAAGTGAAGATCACTTTTCACGCCTTAGGCGCATCGGGTATATGGTAAGAGCGTCCCATATTTCTACAGACCAATCGGCACTGGATGGGTACTGTGGTCAGCATTAAGCCGGCCGTCTTTACTTCCCCAGGACAACCATCCTGGTACCAATTTGAGGCTGGGTCGACCTGCGACGCCCCATACCATGATAAAAATCCATAGATAGATAGTTTGACATGATGCCATGGAGGATCATCCATGTCGGAGTTCACTGACAGTACAGGAGATAGAGACCTATGCATGACTACATGACTACCAACGCCACACGGCATAGATTTTAAGAAGTTGAACAACTGAAACCGTCAACAGATCAACATCAGATACGGTGTAGCTATGTCTGATGAGGGGGAATAGATGTAGTGACCAAGGTTTACTTACCGGTGACTGAGACTGAAGCATGAGACAGCGGAATCTTTGGCTGGCTTGTCGCCCTCTGTAGTCAGGCGAGACATGCCATAACCAATGCCATACGAAAGACTGTACACCCTGCGTGAACCAGAAGGAGACAGGAAAACCATGCGAGAGCCACCCGTTGTTACATTGTTACAACCAGAATAGATTTAGAGTTGTCAGCCTAAAAGCACTTGGGAGACATGCTCAACAGCAGGTCGGAGCACTTATGGTCATGTCCAGTGTGCGATGTACAATGTCAGATGAAGATGATTTTTAATTAAAAATTTCACAATGAACAATGAGACATAAACATGTGTGATAAAAAAAGGTTCAGTGACTCTCTTCCGGTTTAACAATCTATTTACTAACTTACTCATGATTGACATTAACAGATTGTTAAAAGATTTTCATTCTTAACTTTCCAAATATCTTAAATCATCAGCTTAAAGCGTTTACTAGCTACTTTACAAACATTTGAATGTCGCATAAGAGAACATTATCAATTTCACACATTTAATCAACTCTATCAGAAACTTTCAATCTGGCTAATGGACCAGTATCAGCTAGAAACCTTCACTGAACTATGTTAGAAACTTGTGAATGTCCTATACACCAACAGTATCAACTAGAAACCTTCCCTGAACTATGTTAGAAACTTGTGAATGTCCTATACACCAACAGTATCAACTAGAAACCTTCACTGAACTATGTTAGAAACTTGTGAATGTCCTATAAACCAACAGTATCAACTAGAAACCTTCACTGAACTATGTTAGAAACTTGTGAATGTCCTATACACCAACAGTATCAGCTAGAAACCTTCACTGAACTATGTTAGAAACTTGTGAATGTCCTATAAACCAACAGTATCAACTAGAAACCTTCCCTGAACTATGTTAGAAACTTGTGAATGTCCTATACACCAACAGTATCAGCTAGAAACCTTCACTGAACTATGTTAGAAACTTGTGAATGTCCTATATACCAACAGTATCAACTAGAAACCTTCACTGAACTATTGTAGAATCTTGCACAGTCATGTAAGAAATCTGCCGGAGATGTAAAACGGTAATGATTTAATTAAAAAACATGGTAATATCATTTATCAGACACATGGAAACTTGAATCTGTTGTGATATTTCCAAGAAACTGTTAAATGCTATGAGTGATAATAATATACACTTTACAGGTTTCATGATCTTTTCGGAAAATATGTAAATATTCTCAGTCAGAAAAATAAACACTTTGAACTTTTCCTGGCTTTTCCAAGAAATCTATGAAAGTTTGGCGTTAGAAAAATGTGCACTGTTCACAGTTCCTAATCGTTCCAAGAAATCTGTGAAAGTTTGGCGTTAGAAAAATGTGCACTGTTCACAGTTCCTAATCGTTCCAAGAAATCTGTGAAAGTTTGGCGTTAGAAAAATGTGCACTGTTCACAGTTCCTAATCGTTCCAAGAAATCTGTGAAAGTTTGGCGTTAGAAAAATGTGCACTGTTTACAGTTCCTAATAGTTCCAAGAAATCTGTGAAAGTTTGGCGTTAGAAAAATGTGCACTGTTCACAGTTCCTAATCGTTCCAAGAAATCTATGAAAGTTTAGCGTTAGAAAAATGTGCCCTGTTCACAGTTCCTAATCGTTCCAAGAAATCTGTGTATGTGTTGCGTCATAACTGTCTACAGTCTACACTTGTCATGGTCTTTCCCAGAAACTAGTGAACGCCACCTACCAGAACAGCACCACCAACACACACTTGGCGCTCCTTAAAGCTGTGGAACTCTTCAGCGTTGAAAATGGCGGACGAGAAGGTGCCAAAAAAGCTGCGATTGTTGTGTCTGACGGTCTGTCTACGGATCCCGGTGAAAGTAAGATTACATATTGTAGTTCTAGCGGTAGTAGTTATAGCAGCAGCAGCTGCAGTAGTAGCACTTGTAATAGCAGTTACAGAAGTGGTGGCAGTAGAAAGGGATATTGTAGTAACAATTTTAGTATTAGGTATGAGGTGCAGCAGTATTCGCCATAGTTAAAAAGTAGAAGTATCATCAGTTTTAGTACTGAAAGTAGTAGCAGCAGCAGTGGTAGTTAAAGCAGCAGCAGTAGTAGTTATAGCAGCAGCGGTAGTAGTATTGATGATAGTTGTGGTAGTAGAAGTATAAAGTAGTAGTTGTAGCATTAGTAAAAGTAACAGTAGTAAGTAGGTATTATTACGTTGTGTGCAAACCAAGCTATGGGAAACTACGAGAGACTTGCAACTGAAATGCAAGTTCATAGAGACAGTCCACCTGAAAACCTGACCCGAGCAAACGGAACCGAAGGCAAAGAAGAAGAATGCAAGTTCATAGAGACAGTCCACCTGAAAACCTGACCCGAGCAAACGGAACCGAAGGCAAAGAAGAAGAAGAAGAAGAAGAAGAAGAAGAAGAAGAAGAAGAAGAAGAAGAAGAAGAAGAAGAAGAAGAAGAAGAAGAAAGAAAAAGAAGAAGAAGAAAAGAAGAAGAAGAAAAAAAAAAAGAAGAAGAAGAAGAAGAAGAAGAAGAAGAAGAAGAAGAAGAAGAAGAAGAAGAAGAAGAAGAAGAGAAGAAGAAGAAGAAGAAGAAGAAGAAGAAGAAGAAGAAGAAAGAAGAAGAAGAAGAAGAAGAAAGAAGAAGAAGAAGAAGAAGAAGAAGAAGAAGAAGAAGAAGAAGAAGAAGAAGAAGAAGAAGAAGAAGAAGAAGAAGAAAAAGAAGAAGAAGAAGAAGAAGAAGAAGAAGAAGAAGAAGAAGAAGAAGAAGAAGAAGAAGAAGAAGAAGAAGAAGAAAAAGAAAAAGATCATCATCATCAACAACAACAACAACAAAAAAACAATAACAATAACAGCGACAATACCAACATCACGTACATAAACAACTATAGATTAACAAGAACAAGCAGACAGTGACTTGTCAGCAAATCTTAAATTAGGAATATCGCCTTTGATACTGTTTGAAGATAGACATCTCCTAAATGAATCTATGTCAACATTTGCGATCAGCCCTGAAAGCTGCTTCTGTGATGCGAGGCCTGCAGATTGCGGTGTTCACTCTGGGAGTCGGCTCGCAGGCGGACGAGGATGAGCTAGTAGCTGTGGCCACGAAGCCAGAGAATGCCTTCACAGTTGCCAACTACAGTGCCCTCATCTCGCTGGCCATCCCCGTGTCAAGCAGCGTCTGCACAGGTAAGTTACATGGTGGTGGCTTCTATATAATAGGGACATATGTTTGTGGGTATATGTGCGTGTGTCTGCAGAGGTAAGTTAAATGGTGCTGGCTTCTATATAATGGGAACATATGTTTGTGTGTATATGTGCGTGTGTCTGCAGAGGTAAGTTACATGGTGCTGGCTTCTAATTAATAGGGACATATGTTTGTGGGTATATGTGCTTGTGACTGCACAGGTAAGTTACATGGTGCTGGCTTCTATATAATAGGGACATATGTTTGTGGGTATATGTGCGTGTGACTGCAGAGGTAAGTTACATGGTGCTAGCTTCTATATAATGGGGACATATGTTTGTGTGTATATGTGCGTGTGACTGCACAGGTAAGTTACATGGTGCTGGCTTCTATATAATAGGGACATATGTTTGTGTGTATATGTGCGTGTGTCTGCTCAGGTAGGTTACATGGTGCTGGCTTCTACATAATGGGGACATATGTTTGTGGGTATATGTGCGTGTGACTGCATAGGTAAGTTACATGGTGCTGGCTTCTATCTAATGGGAACATATGTTTGTGTGTATACCTTCATCTTGGCACTTGTCGTGTGTCTTTGGATATAGGTGTGTGTATATGTGCGTGAGTCTGCATATGTGTGTCTGTATGTTCATGTGTAGATGCCTGTATAATACATGTATTGAGGTGGTGGATTCATGGGAACAGTTGCCATGCACCGTACTGAGCGGAGGAGGCAAAATAGCAATGAATTGCAAATGAAAGAATAAATGATAGCAAGGATGAGAATCGAGCACCTGAGAACGAACACACTAAATAAAATAATGGCACCAGCTCTCCTGGTATTCCATGATCTAATTGTGGAAGACGCAGGCGGATCTTGCTAGGCACACTCGCCATCGCCTTGGGCTGTCAATCAAATTCCTCCTAACAGCGCAGTATAATACTGTTGCCTGGAAAGACGGAAATATGCCAACGGCAACAACATGGTGCAAACACCTCTGTATGTGTGAGTGTGTCTGTGTGTGTTATTGTCTCTGTGTGTTAGTGTTTGCATAGTCATGCAACAACAATGTGCACGCACCTCTGTATGTGTCAGTGTGACTGCACATGTTCTTTGTTGTGTGTGTGACTGTGTTTGCGGACATATGCTTGGTCTGAGTCGATGTACGAGTTAAAAAGGAAAGCAATGATCGCTTGTATATGTTTAAAGTCTTCAAGTGTTTAGCGAACACAGTAAGCAAATACGGCCAGCAACTAGGGTCTAATCTAAACGGTCGGAATAAACAATACATTGTGTCTTCACAAATAAATAAATACTCCATTGTAAGATTCATGTGAACCGAACCATAGTTAGCAAGGAGAATGTCTAACTATATCTAGTAGCAGTTTTAATATGCGGAGCAACATGCTTTGTGGAGAAAAGTACACTATATGCTTAGCAACATTCCTGTCCACATAACCAGCTATCCACAAAAGACACCTAACAACGAACAACATCTAACCACACGAGACACCTTAGAACGTAAGACACCTAGTCTAAAAAAAAACCTGTCTACAGAAGACACCTTTCCGCACAAGATGCCAAACCACAAAAGACAACTAACAACATAAGACATATAATCACGAAAGACACTTAGCCACAAAAACAGCTAACCACAAAAGAAACCAACTACGAATTTTAATTACCATGAAAGACAGACAACTAGTACGATGCAAGTAAAGAAAAATGAGACAGGACAAAGAGAAAGAAATGACACCACCTGTGTCAGATGGACATATGTGCCAGGATATAAGGAGACGGAAAGGATTCACAGACCACACAGTGAATTTAGGGATGCTATCGAATTTCGTCTTCTTCTTTGGGTTGGTTTTCGTATGTCAAGGTAAAGCGTCAAATGAGCTGTCTCTATGAAATCAAATGATGATTGCAGGTCCTTCTTGGCTACACATAACTTGCTCTGCTGACTTTACTCTTGAGGCCAGATCTATCTGATTATTTGTAGGCAGAGTGGCGGGTCTGAAGAACATGCTTAGGTGTTAGTGGTCCCGTCTGAGAAGCACACTGGGCACTCCGAAAGCAGGTCAGAATCCAGTGTCGCCTTAACTTTCCCAGACTTCACCTGAACCCACGACCTTCCGATCCCAGTGTAGCGGCAACACCACGGCGGCTCCCTGTGGGCACTGTACATTCTTTAGTTTTTGATTGTGGTCGATGCGCGTGCAGTGTCCTGTTCTTAAACGGAACATTGCTGCATATTGTTTTCTTTTGAATCTGTTGATGGGGTCTTGTGGATTAGATTTTGTTGATGTTGTCTTGTTGATGTTGTCTGGTGGATGTTGTTTTGTTGATGTTGTCTTGTTGATGTTGTCTTGTTGATGTTGTCTTGTTAATGTTGTCTTGATGATGTTGTCTTGTTGATGTTGTCTTGTTAATGTTGTCTTGTTGATGTTGTCTTGTTGATGTTGTCTTGTTGATGTTGTCTTGTGAATGTTGTCTGGTTGATGTTGTCTGGTTGATGTTGTCTTGTGGATGTTGTCTTGTTAATGTTGTCTTGTTGATGTTGTCTTGTTGATGTTGTCTTGTTAATGTTGTCTTGTTGATGTTGTCTTGTGAATGTTGTCTGGTTGATGTTGTCTGGTTGATGTTGTCTTGTTGATGTTGTCTTGTTGATGTTGTCTTGTTGATGTTGTCTTGTTGATGTTGTCTTGTTGATGTTGTCTTGTGAATGTTGTCTTGTTGATGTTGTCTTGTTGATGTGGTCTTGTTGATGTTGTCTTGTTGATGTTGTCTTGTGAATGTTGTCTGGTTGATGTTGTCTTGTTGATGTTGTCTTGTGAATGTTGTCTGGTTGATGTTGTCTTGTGGATGTTGTCTTGTTGATGTTGTCTTTTTGATGTTGTCTTGTGGATGTTGTCTTGTTGATGTTGTCTTGTGAATGTTGTCTTGTTGATGTGTTCTGGTTGATGTTGTCTTGTGGATGTTGTCTGGTCGATGTTGTCTGGTTGATGTTGTCTGGTTGATGTTGTCTTGTTGATGTTGTCTTGTTGATGTTGTCTTGTTGATGTTGTCTGGTTGATGTTATCTTGTGGATGTTGTCTTGTTAATGTTGTCTTGTTGATGTTGTCTGGTTGATGTTGTCTTGTTGATGTTGTCTTGTTGATGTTGTCTTGTTGATGTTGTCTGGTTGATGTTGTCTTGTGAATGTGGTCTTGTGGATGTGGTCTTGTTGATGTTGTCTTGTGGATGTTGTCTTGTTGATGTTGTCTGGTTGATGTTGTCTGGTTGATGTTGTCTGGTTGATATTGTCTGGTTGATGTTGTCTGGTTAATTTTGTCTGGTTGATGTTGTCTTGTGGATGTTGTCTGGTTGATGTTGTCTGGTTGATGTTGTCTGGTTAATGTTGTCTGGTTGATGTTGTCTTGTTGATGTTGTCTTGTTGATGTTGTCTGGTTGATGTTGTCTTGTTGATGTTGTCTTGTGGATGTGGTCTTGTTGATGTTGTCTTGTGAATGTTGTCTTGTTGATGTTGTCTTGTGGATGTTGTCTTGTTGATGTTGTCTGGTTGATGTTGTCTTGTGGATTTTTCTTGTTGATGTTGTCTTGTGGATGTTGTCTGGTTGATGTTGTCTTGTGGATGTTGTCTTGTTGATGTTGTCTTGTTCATGTTGTCTGGTGGATGTTGTCTTGTGGATGTTGTCTTGTGGATGTTGTCTTGTGGATGTTGTCTGGTTGATGTTGTCTTGTGGATGTTGTCTTGTTGATGTTGTCTTGTTCATGTTGTCTTGTGGATGTTGTCTTGTTGATGATGTCTTGTTAATGTTGTCTTGTTGATGTTGTCTTGTTAATGTTGTCTTGTTAATGTTGTCTTGTTGATGTTGTCTTGTTGATGGTGTCTTGTGTGTGTTTACTGTTTGTTAGAATTCGACTGTGACATTCACTTGTGCTCTGACCATTCCTCATGTACGTCTTCTCTAAAATTATTAACATTTCTTTGTATCTCATTTCTTTCTTTCCAGAACCAATTCCTCCACCAACAGGTAACTTATTGTACACTCACACTGTCATCATTAAGGGAATGATCATTACCATCACCATCATTAGGTTTGCCATCACCATCATAGTTAAAATAACATCAGCAACATCAACATTGTCGTCGTCTTTAGCGTTATCATCATCATACCCATCAACATTGTCGTCGTCTTCAGCGTCATCATCATCATCATAACCTTCAACATTGTCTACGTCTTCAGCGTCATCATCATCATCATAACCATCAACATTGTCGTCGTCTTTAGCGTTATCATCATCATACCCATCAACATTGTCGTCGTCTTCAGCGTCATCATCATCATCATAACCTTCAACATTGTCGTCGTCTTCAGCGTCATAATCATCATCATAACCATCAACATTGTCGTCGTCTTTAGCGTTATCATCATCATACCCATCAACATTGTCGTCGTCTTTAGCGTTATCATCATCATCATAACCTTCAACATTGTCGTCGTCTTCAGCGTCATAATCATCATCATACCCATCAACATTGTCGTCGTCTTCAGCGTCATAATCATCATCATAACCATCAACATTGTCGTCGTCTTTAGCGTTATCATCATCATCATAACCTTCAACATTGTCGTCGTCTTCAGCGTCATAATCATCATCATAACCATCAACATTGTCGTCGTCTTCAGCGTCATAATCATCATCATAACCATCAACATTGTCGTCGTCTTCAGCGTCATAATCATCATCATAACCATCAACATTGTCGTCGTCTTTAGCGTTATCATCATCATACCCATCAACATTGTCGTCGTCTTCAGCGTCATCATCATCATAACCATCAACACAGTCAACGTCACCTTATCAACATCAACATCACTAACATTACCAACATCATCACCACCACCATCATCATCAACATCAACATTACCCACATCATCATCACCATCACCAACATTACCCACATCATCACCACCACTATCATTATCATCTTCATCACCATCACTAACATTACCAACATCATCACCAATATCAACACCAACACCAACATTAACATTACCCACATCATCATCACCATCACTAACATTACCAACATCATCACCACCATCATCATCATCATCAACATCAACATTACCCACATCATCATCACAAAATTTACCCACATTATCAACAATATATCATTATCATCATCATCATCAACGTCGTCGGTATCGTTCAACATCAGCATCATCATCAGCAAGTGCCGTGCCTCTTGTAGATACCTGCCATGCTATTGACAAAGTTACTGCCATTACAACAACAACAAAAACCAGCAAGAATAGCGAGAGTGGACAGATAGAACAGAAAATACAGTGTATCAAGTATTGACTGGATATAGGATACTGATGAGTGAAAGGTAAAACAGCTGTAACCATCGTGTGACAAACAAGCTGACACACACTCTCTTAAGGATCATCTCGTTACGTTGTTTGCTGTCAACACACTGCTTCTGCGTGATCGTTTTTAAATAATTGTCTGTGTACATACACTCTCTGTAGGATACTCTCATCAAGTTGTTTTTTTTCTTTCGTTCTGTCAACACACTGCTTCTCGGTGATCATCATTGATTAATTGTCTTTGTACTCACAGTCTTTGTAGGATCATATCGTTCAGTTGTTTTCTCTGTTAACATACTGCTTTTGTGTAATTATCGTTGATTAATTGTCTTTGTACCCACAGTCTTTATAGGATCATATCGTTCAGTTGTTTTCTCTGTTAACATACTGCTTTTGTGTAATTATCGTTGAATAATTTATTCTCTTTGTACACACTCTCTACAGGATAGAGAGTTTGTTTTTCTCTCTAAACCACTGATTCTGTGGGATCATCGTTAATTACATCTCTTTGTACACACACTCTTATTAGGATAATCTCATTAAGCTTTTTCTGTCAACACACTAAGGGGGCAATTTTAACGTGTAGCTACTTGGACTTCTAGTAATTGTCCCTGGTCTCTGGGTAGTGAGATCGGACGCCCGTGTGCATTGTTGCGCACGTAAAAAAATCCCTTGGCAGTTAGAAATCAAAAAGAGTAGCCTAACGGCGCTGCCCGGGTAATATTTGGAGTTAAAAATCTACCCAAAGTATTTCAGGATACTCACCGGTGCTACAGAGCCTGTGCACTGTGCTGAGCTTCTTCAGACACAGAATTGAATAACTTAGGGGTTATTACCCGTGTGTCATGATGTTCGTCCATTGTTCAAACCTCAAACCTGTCAGCAGACTACAGCTAAGTAATCATCAATAATTGATTATTTCTCTGTGTGAACACACTCTTATAAGATCACATTGTTAAGCTTCTTTCTGTTAACTTACTGCTTCTGTGTGATCATCATTATTTAATTATCTGTGTACACACACACTCTGTATATGAGCATCTCTTTAGGGTTTTATTTTGTCAACATACTGTTTCTGTACACACACACACACACACACACACACACACATACACGCACCGACATGTCTATTGCAGTGAAGCCCTGTCCCCCAGCCACCATTGTGGACATCTTTTTTGTGGTGGACTCCTCGGGAAGCATCCCTGTCGAGCACTACCAGAACAACTTCAAGTTCATCCAGGCCATCGTCGATGCCTACTACGTGGCTGAAGACGGCGCCAAAGTGGCCATGCTGACCTATGGAACATCTGTGAGGCCAAAGTTCAAACTGTCCGCGGACCCAGTCTTCATACGTTCAGTAAATATCATTGCGTCTGTCTGTGTGTTACATGTTGTAAACTGTCATGAATACAACAAATTCCCATGTATCTACATAATTGACATCTTTCGGTCTTTCCACGCGTGTGTTATATTGTATAGTATTATATACAATGTCCGACAATTAAGTAATGAGACTGATTTTATTATGACCAAGACAAAAATGTCATCTATGAAGCAAAGCATGAAATCATTCATCTATGATCTGGTTACTTTTTATCGCCGCTCGATAAGCAGACAACAAGCCGCCATTTTTTTGACCAAGTCAGAGGTGCATTGTTACGTAATCAGCACGGAGCAAAAAGCTTACATGAAATTCTTTTTAAAACTCAGAAAAAGCGACATTGAAACAGTTGAATTGATGCAACAAGTTTATGGGGATACTTTTTTATCTCGTCCACAAATTTGTAAGTGGTATTCACGATTTAAAAGTGGTGTGGAAATGATTAATAATGTAACCTAGACCTGGACGCCAAATTTATGTTGCTAATCATGAACCCATTGTAAAAGTCAGAGAACTGATAGAAGTAGAATATTGTTTTACTGTGAGAATGATGGCAGATAAATATTGTGTTAACAGAGAGACCTTTCATAACCATTACTGCAAGATTTTTAAAAGGAAAAAGTTGCTTGCCGGTTTGTACCGCATTCGGTCTGATGACCAAAAACATCAGCGGTTGAGTGCCCAAGAGACATGATCAAAACAATAATTTTTGGCCCAAAATCAAGTGTATGTTCTAAGCCTTCCACCCTTTTCTCCAGATTTGTCTCCCTGTAATTATTTTATATTAACAAAATTAAAGTTAGGATTGAAAGGACGCTTCTCTGACGATATTGATGACATCTTACAGGCCGTAATATCGACTATAAGGGTCATAACAACAGAAGAACTACAGAGGTCGTTCCAGTGTTTGTTAGATCGTGCCACTCGCTGTATCAGTGCACAAGGGGCTTACTTTGAACAAAATACAGGTTTTATCTTCAACTGTTGATTATTTTAATTTTATAGAATTAGTTTCATTACTTAATTGTCGGACCTTGTATACGAGGAGGCATGGGACTCACAGCCCATGGCGATGGCGAGTGTGACTAGCAAGACCCGCTCGAGTTAAGAAAAGTCTTCCACAATTATAGAATGGGATTTAAGGGCCATTTTTTACGAGCATTTGTGTTAGTCTGTTTCTTTTCAGACGCCCAGTTATCATTCTTTCTGCAATTATTTCTTCCTTCATTTTCATTCCTCTCCTGATGTTCCCCACTTCCCAAAACATGGTCCATGGCATTTTGCATCCACGAGCCCACCTCAATACCTGTATCTTTCATATGCAGTTACACACATCTTTCTTTTCTAGTAGAGGTCGGCGGTGACATCTTCTACACGTCTTTAATTCACCATTGAGGATCTTCTTATGCAAATACTAGTATTAACAATGACAAGACGGAGAAGATATATATATATATATATTTGACAACAGACAGAGAAGATGGAGCTATATTTGACAACAGACAGAGAAGACAGAGCAGATAGAGCTATATTTGACAACAGACAGAGAAGACGGAGCTATATTTGACAACAGACAGAGAAAACAGAGCTATATTTGACAACAGACAGATGACGGAGCTATATTTGACAACAGACAGAGAAGACGGAGCTATATTTGACAACAGACAGAGAAGACGGAGCTATATTTGACAACAGACAGAGAAGACGGAGCTATATTTGACAACAGACAGATGACGGAGCTATATTTAACAAGAGACAGAGAAGACGGAGCTATATTTGACAACAGACAGAGAAGACGGAGCTATATTTGACAACAGACAGAGAAGACGGAGCTATATTTGACAACAGACAGAGAAGACGGAGCTATATTTGACAACAGACAGAGAAGACGGAGCTATATTTGACAACAGACAGAGAAGACGGAGCTATATTTGACAACAGACAGAGAAGACGGAGCTATATTTGACAACAGACAGAGAAGACGGAGCTATATTTGATTAAAAACAGAGAAGACGGAGCTATATTTGACAATAGACAGAGAAGACGGAGCAGATGGAGCTATATTTGACAACAGACAGAGAAGACAGAGCTATATTTGACAATAGACAGAGAAGACGGACTATATTTGACAACAGACAGAGATCACTTAGCTATATTTGACATCATGCAGAGATCACTTAGCTATATTTGACAACAGACAGAGATCACTTAGCTATATTTGACATCAGGCAGAGAAGATGAAACAATATTTGACAACAGACAGAGAAGATAGAACTATATTTGATAAAAGACCTCCTGAGAAGAACTATCCGAAACACCCAACGGGCACGCCCTCTTCTTCTTTGCTCCAAAGTGGCCCTTTAGTGGCAGATTTCGGAGAAGCTTCAGGTGAATAACAGGCACTGAAATAGGAAATACTGCAGATGGATTAAGGAAAACGAGGACATCTAAAGGAAATCTTAAAACGGATGTTAATGAGAGAAGCCAAAGATGCTCGGCTGGATTCTATCCATGATATCTCAGTGATAGCACAGGATAGAATCGAATAGACAGACTCTATGGCATATGACTGCATAACGGGGCAGTTTATTAACGTATATTTCGTTATTAAAGTTTTTTTTTTTTTTTTAATGTGTTTGTACGATATTGATTTTCTGGCTTGTAATTTGATCTAAATCAGGACACATTATGACATTGAACACAAGCTATGCAGCTGACAAAGGACAGACAAACTATAACTAACTCTTCTATGTTGAAATTTCTGGCATACGCAGTAGGACACATACACAAATGTGATCTTAAAACTGCTAGCGAAAATATAAGTTACGAGCAATCATTGTTGTCCCTTTAGAGGACCAAAGCACTAGTGTTAGTGTTTAGGCTCCATAAAAAGCGGACATAAGGAGGAGAAGAAGAAAAAGAAGAAGAAGAAGAAGAAGTAAAAGAAGAAGAAGAGGAAGAAAAAGAAGAAGAAGAAGAAGAAGAAAAAGAAGAAGAAGAAGAAGAAGAAGAAGAAAAAGAAGAATAAGAAGAAGAATAAGAAGATAAGAAGATAAGAAGAAGAAGAAGAAGATGAAGAAGGAGAAGAAGAAAAAGAAGAAGGAGAAGAAGAAGAAAAAGAAGAAGAAGAAGAAGAAGAAGAAGAAGAAGAAGAAGAAGAAGAAGAAGAAGAAGAAGAAGAAGAAGAAGAAGAAAGATGAGGAGGAGAAGAAGAAGAAGAAGAAGAAGAAGAAGAAGAAGAAGAAGAAGAAGAAGAAGAAGAAGAAGAAGAAGAAGAAGAAGAAGAAGAAGAAGAAGAAGAAGAAGAAGAAGAAGAAGAAGAAGAAGAAGAAAAAAGTAGAAAAAGAAGAAGAACAACGAGAAAAGAAGAAGAAAGAGAAGGAAGAGGCGGATAAATATAAATCTCTGTAGTAAATTCCAATTGTCTAGCACGCACACTCTCAGTCAACTGAGATCGTTAGACTAGTGCCTCATTCCTTAAGGAGGAAATACCAAAATGTGTTGTTGTCTTGACTCACCAGCAACTACAGAACGTGACCTACCAGGGCAGTACTACCAACACCCACCTGGCCATAGCCTATATCGTGGACAATGCCTGGAACAGTCCAGCAAACGGCGCCAGAAACAAGAGCCACGTCATTATTCTTTTCTCTTCTGACTCCTTGCCTTCTTCTACAAATCGAACCGAAAGTTTTCCTTCTCTGCTTCTTCTTCTTCTTCTTTCTTCTTTCCTTCCTTTTTCTTTTTCTTCTTCTTCATTCTTCTTCTTCTCTTCTTTCTTTCTTCTTCTTCTTCTCTTCCTTCTTCTTTTCGTTCTTCTTCTTCTTCTTCTTCTCTTCTTCTTCTTCTCTTCTTCCCTTCTTCTTCTTCTTCCTTTCTTCTTCTTCTTCTGTCTTTTCTTCTTCCTTCTTCTTCTTCTTCTCTTCTTCTTCTTTTCTTCTTCTTTTCTTCTTCTTCTTCTTCTTTTTTCTTCTTCTTTCTTCTCTTCTTTTCCTTCTCATATCTTCTTCTTTTCTTTCTTTTCTTCTTCTTCTTTTCTTCTTCTTTCTTCTTCTTCTTCTTCTTTCTTCTTTCTTTTCTTCTTCTTCTTCTTTCTTCCCTTCTTCTTCTTCTTCTGTTCTCTCTTTCTTCTTACTTCTTCTCTCTTCTTCTTTCTTCTTCTTCGTCTCTCTTCTTCTTCTTCTTCTTCTTCCTTTCTTCTTCTTCTTCTTCTTCTTCTTTCTTCTTCTTCTTTCTGCTTCTTCTTACTCTCTTCTTGACTTCTTCTTCTTCTTCTTCTTCTTCTTCTTCTTCTTCTTCTTCTTCTTCTTCTTCTCTTCTTCTTCTTCTTCTTCCTTCTTCTTTCTTCTTCTTCTTTCTTCTTCTTCTTCTTCTGCTTCTTCTAAGGACTTCTTTCTTCTTCTTTCTTCTTCTTCTTCTTCTTCTTCTTCTTCTTCTCTTCTTCTTTCTTCTTCTTCTTCTTCTTTTCTTCTTCTCTCTTCTTCTTCTTCTTCTTCTTCGTCTTCTTCTTCTTCTTCTTCTTTCTTCTTCTTCTTCTTCTTCTTCTTCTGTCTTTCTTCTCTTCTTTTCTTCTTCTTCTTCGTCTTCTTCTTCTTCTTCTTCCTCTTCGTCTTCTTCTTCTTCTATCTTTCTCTTCTTCTCTTCTTCTTTTTCTCCCTTCTTCTGCTTCTTTTTTCTTCTTGCTTCCCTTCTTCTTCTTTCTTCTTTTCTTTTTCTTCTTTCTTCTTCTTCTTCTTCTTTCTTCTTCTTTTCTTCTTCTTCTTCTTCTTCTGTCTTCTCTTCTTCTTCTTCTTCTTTCTTTCCTTCTTCTTCTCTTCTTCTTCTTCTTCTTTTTCTTCTTCTTCTTTTTCTTTTCTTTTTTTCCTGTCTTTTCTTCTTCTTTCTTCTTCTTCTTCTTCTTCTTCTTCTTCTTCTTCTTCTTCTTCTTCTTCTTCTTCGTCTTTCTTCTGCTTTTTTTTCTTCTGCTTTTTTTTCTTCTGCTTTTTTTTCTTTCTTCTTCTTCTTCTTTTCTTCTTCTTCTTCTTCTTCTCTTCTTCTTCTTTTTCTTCTTCGTCCTTCTTCTTCTTCTTCTTCTTCTTCTTTTCTCTTTCTTCTTCTTCTCTTCTTCTTCTTCTTTATTCCTGCTTTCTTCTTCTTCCTTCTTCTTCTTCTTCTTCTGTTCTTCTTCTTCTTCTTCTTCTTCTTCTTCTCTTCTTCTTCTTCTTCTTCTTTCTTCTTCTTCTCTTCTTTCTTCTTCTTCTTCTTCTTCTTCTTCTTCTTCTTTCCTTCTCTTCTTCTTCTTCTTTCTTCTTCTTTCTTCTTCTTTCTTCTTCTTCTTCTCTTCTTCTTCTTCTTCTTCTTCTTCTTCTTCTTCTTCTTCTTCTTCTTCTTCTTCTTCTTCTTCTTTCTTCTTCTTCTCCTTCTTTCTTCTTCTTCTTCTCTTTCTTCTTCTTCTTCTTCTTCTTCTTCTTCTTCTTCTTCTTCTTCTTCTTCTTTCTTCTTTCTTCTTCTTCTTCTTCTTCTTCTTCTTTTCTTCTCTTCTTCTCCTTCTTCTTCTTCTTCTTCTTCTCTTCCTTCTCATTCCTTCTTCTTCTTCTTTTTTTTCTTCTTCTTCTTCTTCTTCTTCTTCTTCTTCTTCTTCTTCTTCTTCTTCTTCTTCTTCTTCTTCTTCTTCTTCTTCTTTCTTCTTACTTCTTGGTCCTTATTTTCTTCTTTTTTCTTCTTCTTTCTTTTTTTTCCCAGCATCCCGAGCCCTTGAGGTTCATCGCTGCAGACATCAGCCGCCTCCACTCATTTCTCTGCTTGGTCTTCTCTTTCCTGTTAGTGACACTAAGTGTTTGCAGGTCTCTCTAGACATTACATTATCTTTCCATCGTCTTCTTGGTCTGCCTCGTGGTCAACGACCATTCTCTTCCTTGTGGATACAGCTTTTACCTCTCTGTCAACCTTTTAGCTCTCATGATGCCAGTGATCAGTTGTGACTTATACAGATCATGAAATACGTTATTGCTTCTCACCATTTTCCGCTGTTTACATCTTTGATAGGTCCCAAGATTTGTCGTAAGACTCTCTGTTTCCGAAAAACCGGTAATAAGCCTTTGTCTGTCTTAGTTGTGCTCCAAGTTTCAGAACCACATAAAACGACTGGTAATTAGTATTGTTCGTTCTTCTTGTATTCTTTACTTCAAGTCAAGCATAGCTCTTTAAAAGGCTCACCACAGATGCTAATATCCTCGATGGTCATATCCTCTTGAGGAACACAGTTGGGCTGTAAGAAGGCTGAGGTGGTTACAGGAAGGTCTTTATTTACAGAGCCTAGGTCTCAGACCCTTGAAGAAGTCGAACAATTATTGTTAGTGTGGAGGAATGAAAAGCAACTTTCTGAAGATCGAATTAACGAGACCTGGGTGTGGCTTTATTTTTGCACAGTCATTTATTTTCTCCTGATCGTTGCCCTCTACCATCTAACTGCGCACCCAACTGTTATCTACAAACGTAAAGTAATGCAGTACATTTTATATTTTAGATCTTCACAATAATCTAATTTAAAACGTCAAACAAACTATTTCTTGGACAGGTAAAAGAATTAAGTTCATTTTCATGATTTCAGTAGGATTGTATAGGAGTTGAATAATGCATTAGGCTTGTGACGTGAGGTACAACTGCATTTTATTAATCATAAATAATTGATAGATTAGAAAAAAAAGGGGGAAGGGTGATTGGGAGTTCGTCATAAATGTCGGGATGTTCCTGGGGAAGGGGGGGGGGGGGGGGGGGGGGGGGGGGGGGGGGGGGGGGATGGGGGGTGGGGGGGGGAGGGGGAGAGGAGCAGGACTGTAGACAGTAAGTGATACCCAATAATGCTCTTGTCTGCGAGACTGGTGACTTCTGTGTTCCCAATTACCTCGGGGAGGTATTGTTAACTGTCAGAAAACACAAATGAGCAAAGCAAAATTCTTCAAACGAAATAAACGCTCGTCACATTAAAATCTACTAGTCCACACACATACGCGCGCGCGCACAAACCAGACACACACGCGCGCGCACAAACCACACACACATGTGTATATGTGTTTGTGTATATAGTGTTGTGTGTGTATGCGTGTGATTGTTTTATGCGAATACTTGGATCTCTGTTTGTTGTGTGTGTGCTTGTGTGTGTGCGTGTGTATGTGCGTGTGTATGTGTTTGTGTGTGCACGCGATCTTCGCGCTCACTAGTCGTGTGTGTGCGTGTATGTGTGCGTGTGTGTGTGTTGTAGAAGATGTCAAGACTTGCCTCCACCCCACATAAAGATATGTACAAGAGGGATATAAATGATACATGTATTGAGGTAGATTTGAGGGAACAACATGTAATCGTTGCGAGGGGGGGGGGGGGGGGCAAACAGGAAAGGAAATTACGATACAGGTATAAATGAGAGCAGAAAGGATGAGAGCTGATCGTTTGAACACTCTAAATGCATATGGTGGCAGCGATGGTCCTGAAATCCCATGCTATATTTGTGCGAGAGTTTTCTTAACGTGTTCGGCTCTATCCAGTCACACTCAATCTCGCCATGGTTGTGGAGTCTGACGCCCCTTCATAGCATTTTATGACACTCAGCTAAAAGGTAGGAAAGGTGCCAACAGGTGTGTTTGTGTGTAAGTGTGTATGTACACAATGTAAAATGACCCTCTTTCACTGCTTTTAGGCATACTGGGCACATAGGGCTAGACCTATATTTAATAGACCAATCGTCATTTGGTGGGTTATGTAGTCAGCATCACCCAGGCCGTTGACCTGCCATGATTGTAGCCACTTTCTAGTCAAAGTGAGTTGACATAGGAGCCAGGCTCGTGTTCGAAACACGCCCCCCCCCCCCCCAGGAGCCTAACGCCCAGCCTTTGGATCTGCAGGCGAAACACCATGGCGACTCGCAGGTAAACAGTGTACTAAGGAATAATTACGCTGTTCATATTTTACCTTCTGACATTTCCGTGCACACAATTTTACTTTATTTTCTCAAAAGGAAAAGACTCAAGGAAACGAAATGTGAATATAACAAAGTGAATTAACAGTTTTGGTGACCAAATGATATTTCTCCCTACAGCCCTGAATCAGGCAAACAGAGTCAAGCAGTTGGGTTTCATCATCATTGTTGTGGCAGTTGGTCCATATGTAGACCGGAACGAAACTACCGCCGTGGCCTCCAAGCCCGACTACGTCATCTCGGTCAACGACTACACCGTGTTAGACTACATCGCCAGCAAGACTTCAGAGATAGCCTGCAACAACGGTAAGTGACAGCCAGCCAGGGTAAGTGACAGCCAGCCAGGGTAAGTGACAGCCAGCCAGGGTAAGTGACAGCCAGCCAGGGTAAGTGACAGCCAGCCAGGGTAAGTCATAGCCAGCCAGGGTAAGTGACAGCCAGCCAGGGTAAGTGATAGCCAGCCAGGGTAAGTGACAGCCAGCCAGGGTAAGTGACAGCCAGCCAGGGTAAGTGACAGCCAGCCAGGGTAAGTGATAGCCAGCCAGGGTAAGTGACAGCCAGCCAGGGTAAGTGACAGCCAGCCAGGGTAAGTGATAGCCTGCAACAACGGTAAGTGACAGCCAGCCAGGGTAAGTGATAGCCAGGGATAGTGACAACCAGGGGACGTGACAACCACGGGAAGTTATAACAAATGGAAGTGATAACCACGGTAAGCGACAACCAGGGTAATCGACAACCAAGAAAAGTGACAACCAGGGAAAGTGACATCCAGGGAAAGTGACAACCATGATAAGCGAAAACCACATTTGCTCCTGCTACTAACATAAGTCACTGCAGCCCTTCACAGAATTCCTGCCCAACTTTAAACATCTGTAACTTATGAACAAATTACTGTAAGTTGTTAAAATTTAGCATGCAACTGTAAATAATGTCCTTGTCAGAGATTTTTCTCAGTGTAAACAAACATCTAGTTTTCATTTTGCCTATAACTGCTCTATATGTTTTAAAAAAATATTCAAAGTTATCATTATGCTTACAGTTAACTGTATAAAGGAAACTGTTCAAAACTCCTGTCGCACATGATTCATAGGCGTTTCACTCTCCGGTTGTCATCTCGAGCATTAGGCTGCCGTGAGTGCGTAGATTTCATTGAACAAAATCGATAAACACAATACTTATCAAGCATCGCTGCACTTGTGAACTGATTTCCAAACTCTGCTAAAGCAGGTTTTTTTTTTTAATTACTGTGTATTCAAATTTATTTAAAGGAGGTCACAAATTATAAGTAAAATAGAGATCAAAGAAATTTGCCCGCTTGAGGAGAACAGCAGTACCTGTACAATAATAAATTTTAAAAAATCGTAAGTGAATGGGAAATCTAAGGCCCGTTGATCCATCCCGAAATTTTCGACATAGTTATTTGATGTGAAGGCACGACAGTTGTAACGCACTGTACCACAGTAAACTACTTCAGGGTTAAATCAGCCGTTCCCATTCTGCGGTCTGCAGGCCCTAGAGAGATCAACATTAGGAGCTCGATGAAAGCAAATTACATCACTAAAGCAAACATCCGAAGTCTTCGTGTATCTGTTTGAGAGGAAAGGGACCAATATCCTGTACACACATAAGCCAAATCTGTAAAACGGGTGTGTATGTAAAATAGGTTCTGGAAAAACACTAAAGTCCTGAAGTGGATAAACACGCCGAACATTCCGCAGGAGTGTACAACCGTTAAATACAAAAAAGACAAAGAAGAAGAAAATAAATAGTCACAACAACTGACTGTTTCTAACACTGGTGCGACCGCTATTGGCGCTGGATCCTGGAGTTTACCCACTAACTATCGTCATACTGGCCAAGTTTACCTTGCAATGTTTTGCTAAATTTTGCCATTCACCTAATTATATTTGAATAGATAGAGATTTGAACACAGAAGCCTTGTATAATCAGACAGACGGTTAGTCAAGTTCCCTCTGTGTCCACCACACAATTTAATTTCCATATTAATGGAGGTATCTTCTAGCGTGTGCTCTGTAGCCTGTGTCCACCACACAATGTAATGTCCATATTATTGGAGGTATCTTCTAACTTGTGCTCTGTAGCCTGTGTCCATCACACAATGTAATGTCCATATTGATGGAGGTATCTTCTAACTTGTGCTCTGTAGCCTGTGTCCACCACACAATTTAATTTCCATATTAATGGAGGTATCTTCTAGCGTGTGCTCTGTAGCCTGTGTCCATCACACAATGTAATGTCCATATTGATGGAGGTATCTTCTAACTTGTGCTCTGTAGCCTGTGTCCACCACACAATTTAATTTCCATATTAATGGAGGTATCTTCTAGCGTGTGCTCTGTAGCCTGTGTCCATCACACAATGTAATGTCCATATTGATGGAGGTATCTTCTAACTTGTGCTCTGTAGCCTGTGTCCATCACACAATTTAATGTCCATATTGATGGAGGTATCTTCTAACTTGTGCTCTGTAGCCTGTGTCCATCACACAATGTAATGTCCATATTGATGGAGGTATCTTCTAACTTGTGCTCTGTAGCCTGTGTCCATCACACAATGTAATGTCCATATTATTGGAGGTATCTTCTAACTTGCGCTCTGTAGCCTGTGTCCACCACACAAGGTAATGTCCATATTGATGGAGGTATCTTCTAACTTGTGCTCTGTAGCCTGTGCCCACCACACAATTTAATGTCCTGATATTTGAATGTTGTTTCTTGTTTCAGAACCAAAATAAAATACGATACAGGAACACCAACCAACAAACCAACAAACAAACCCAAGCGAGCTCAATCTTCAGACAGCCTCAACCAGATACAAGCAAAGTTTACTTCTAAGTTTTGTTCTAACTAGCGTCTGTCATTTGCTGTGATGTGTTGGGATCTAATGGAGTCCTAAAACAACGCTACATCTCCAATAAATGAATGAACATTACACGTTTTTTAAAGTTGCCTTTTAAAATGATCGTATGTTTACATTTGTTTGTTGTCTCTGTAGTGCAAGAAACCGCTTGAAAACTATATTTGTCTTAAATTTTGACGAGCTAATGTTGCACACAGTGGACCTTGTCACGCGAATCCTTTTTGCTGAGTGTCTTTTCAGACTATTCAAGTTGCAAGACAAATGAAACCATTAGTGAAATGCTCAAAACTGCTAATTACTGGCTTTATTTGACCACTTTTGTGCTGTAGGCAGGGATGTCTTTGAGTCTGAGGATTTACGGCGGCATGGCAAGTGCTGTCGCCACCACAGTGCAGGTGAGGATTTTATGTCTCCCCGAGTGAAATGAACACTTGGAATATGGTCACTAAAAGAAAGAAGAACACTCTTTAACACTGTATTTTTTTGTGTTTAACAACTCTATGCTATCAATGTCAGACATGGACGCTGTCTTCAGAATACAGAAGAAAATAGTCACAACAGAAATGAAATGTTGAGTACTATGCTAGGTTTGTCAAGAAAAGATTGATTTAGGAAGATCATTTTATGAGAAGAGTCTGTACAGAACCAATCCTGAACTCTTTCGGTAGACAACAAATCAAATGATTTGGTTATGTAACAAGATTTGCAACAGACAGAGCTCAACATAGAACAATGCTATACACATACAACGGTAACAGACCCATAGGTCGACCACGCGAAATATGCATCGTTTAAATATCAGAGACGGTGACAAGTGTTAAATGTGAAGCGAACGGAAGGGCCCGTTACAGATATCTCTTCTCGTCCTGACGCTGCAACGCATTCAATGATTAGAGACAAGAAGAGAAGAAGAAGAAGACGAAGTGTTACGTTATGCTGTCAGAAGGCATGTGGACAAACATTCCATGGCGATAGCGAGTGTCACTAGCAAAACCAATCAGCATGTTTCTCTTCTCCATAGAAGAAAGCCTGGGAAGTATTACAGAGACCGTCTACTGGCCATGCATGATGATCTCTCTCTCCTCCCCCCCCCCTCTCTCTCTCTCTCTCTCTCCCTCTCTCTCTCTTTCTCAGCCTGCCTTGTTTATTTAAAAGGAAAGGTAACAGCAATACTCTAGCAACGCACAGGGCAGAAGCTGCCGCAGCAGCATCTAAGGAAAAATGGGCCATGTTCCCTCGCCAGATTAGAACTCCAATTCCCCCCGTTACCCATTACAAACATGGTAGGCATGCCACTTACAATCGACCCTTTGATAGGGCAGACATTTGAAAGATGCATGGACGGCACGCGAGGCCATGCGATCCCCACAAAGTTACCCATAGTCACCAATGGGGACGCTGAGAATCCGCCAAGTGTAGCAAGGTTGGTTTAAACAGCTAAACACTCTCTTTCCATAAGGCTCGTTGTGAGGGATATTAAATTATTTTACCTCTTTATTATTTTAAATGAATCCCAACGCAGCATTTGACAAACAAACACATTCTAAGCAATCTTTCTTTTTAGTTGAGACGAGTAAAAGAATTATTTAATGAGAATTCTATGTGGATTTACAGACTAATGATGAATTTATAAAACAAAAGCTTTGATGTTACAAAGAAACTGACTCACGAAGAAAACTGATTGCCCGCATCAGAGGGAGACAATCCACATTCTGTGGTCATGTCATGAAAAAAAAAAACCACTGTTGTCCATGGTGACGGTGTGAAACCTGAAGGGGCAAAGAGGCAGAGGGAGACCGAGAGAGAAGATGCTAGAAAATGAGACGTTATGACATTGAAGATCATCTGTGTCAGAACTGATTGAAAGTACATGAGACATATGGCTGTGGATACATATATGACAACTAACGTCACACATCACTGACAGTAAAAAAAAACACAAGCCCACTTACTGCGCTTATAGTACACCGACATATGAATAGTTGTTTTCACATCAAAGGGCACGTTACAAAATAAATATAAACACAATCACACGTACTGTTTATAGACAACTCAATTATGTGCTGGTTAACAGCATCAGACAGACAGACGGATGACTAATACACAAGAAATAAAAACATATATAAAAGACAGATTTAGACACATAGATAGATAGGACGAACGAAAGAGCAAACGAAAGAACGAACGAACATACTTTTTTTTCAAAGAGTTACGAAATAAGCAAGGCAACCAGTCTAATATTCTGCCCTTCCACTCCTCTTCGTGTATAAACTTACTCACTACCAAGATGGCTGCAGTATTTACCGATGTGAGAAAAATCATTTTTTTTTTTTTTGAGGACTTCAAAATAGATACTCAAAAGTTACAACACAAGGGAGAATATAATCTGGTCGTACAATCTCCAACATCTCGTTACACAGGCTAATAAAGAAATGTAATCATCTTCAACACTTATAAATCACACTTATGCAACAGGTTGAGCTAATATTATAGAATGTAAGGTACCCGCTACTGCACAGTCCGAATATCTTCAAATTTGTGTGCAAGGAAGAAAATGGGAACTAACATTCCTAAACATCAACCTATAGGAAAAACATTTAGAAGCTATGACAATTAAAATCAAAAGGAGTTTCTACGTGATATACTAAGTTCACTCCTTAAACACGTTTACCAACAGCCTAATCCAGAGGATGCTCTCGAACAATGGAGGAAGACACTTCCTGGTGTGTTTGATAACCTATGCAAGTTAAGGGGTTTGGGGTTAAACATCAGACTCAGTCACCAACAATCACCAGGGGAGTCGTAGAAATTGAGACTGGACACACACAAATAGGGACTTGAGTAACAAAGTACAGTATGTTAAGGGGGAAAAAAAGAACTATGATAGATAGATAGATAGATAGATAGATAGATAGATAGATAGATAGATAGATAGATAGATAGATAGATAGATAGATAGATAGATAGATAGATAGATAGATAGATAGATAGATAGATAGATAGATAGATAGATAGATAGATAGATAGATAGATAGATAGATAGATAGATAGATAGATAGATTAGATAGATAGATAGATAGATAGATAGATAGATAGATAGATAGATAGATAGATAGATAGATAGATAGATAGATAGATAGATAGATAGATAGATAGATAGATAGATAGATAGATAGATAGATAGATAGATAGATAGATAGATAGATAGATAGATAGATAGATAGATAGATAGATAGATAGATAGATAGATAGATAGATAGATAGATAGATAGATAGATAGATAGATAGATAGATAGATAGATAGATAGATAGATAGATAGATAGATAGATAGATAGATAGATAGATAAGATAGATAGATAGATAGATAGATAGATAGATAGATAGATAGATAGATAGATAGATAGATAGATAGATAGATAGATAGATAGATAGATAGATAGATAGATAGATAGATAGATAGATAGATAGATAGATAGATAGATAGATAGATAGATAGTGACAGACAGAACGATGGTAGATGTTTTGACAAAGCTTAGGGCGGTCTCGGCAGACATATGCGTTGGCAATGTGTCTGAGAATCAGATTTGCGGCTCTGTGTGCACAACCAATGGGGATCTACACCACCATGGATGCTGTCCCTAGGAGAGACTGCAGCCGAATTGAAGTGAGGCCCCACTATCTTCCACAGTGCGACTCCCGTACCACTGATAGCCATAAGAAAGATCCTTCCCCAATAAACTAATTCACTGATAGCCATAAGAAAGATCCATCCCCAATAAACTATTTCACTGACAGCCATAAGAAAGATCCTTCCCCAATAAACTAATTCACTGATAGCCATAAGAAAGATCCTTCCCCAATAAACTAATTCACTGAACTGTGACTGAGAAGCTAGACTGGTTTGGGGTATGTTGGCGGGAGGGTAACTTTGTACACACAGACGACAAAATGAGTCGTTTCATCAGGAGCCTTTTTCTACGTAAACCACAACAGCATCAACAAGGGAAAGCGTATCATGACAACCGTTCCCCACGCAGTTGAAGTCATGTGGATAATTATAATATTTGGTGAAAGGAAAGTGTGACGGGAAACAATACAATTTTAAAGAAAAAGCGAAAATAATAATAATATTAGTAGTAGTTGTTGTTGTAGTAGTAGTGGTTGTTGTAACAGCAGTAGCAGCAGCAGCAGTCGTAGTAGTAGTAGTAGTAGTAGTAGTAGTAGTAGTAGTAGTAGTAGTAGTAGTAGAAGTAGTAGTAGTAGTAGTAGTAATAGTAGTATTAGTAGTAGTAGTAATCGTAGTAGTAGTAGTAGTAGTAGTAGTAGTAGTAGTAGTAGTAGTAGTAGTAGTAGTAGTAGTAGTAGTAGTAGTAGTAGTTGTAGTAGTAGTAGTAGTAGTAGTAGTAGTAGTAGTAGTAGTAGTAGTAGTAGTAGTAGTAGTAGTAGCAATAATAATGATGATAATAAAAATAAAATAATATTACAATGAATTCCAATACTGGTCTACGCCAAAAATGGCTTTTTTTTAAAGTTAATTTTTTATTTAATATTCGTCCGAAAGAAGTCAGTATTCGTCCTTCCTTCGACTTGGCCGGCGAGTCATCAGAGTGGGTGAAACAAGAAGACTCTAACTGCTTCAGTTAAGGAATGGCTGTTTGCTTTGGTAAAACTGCAGGTTTAAATAGAGAAATGGCACGCATGCATAGCAATAGTTCATTAGCGTAACAACTGGTATGATGACAATGTGTTTGGACACTTCTGGAGAGGAAAATAGACCAGTGAAAAACACACCATTGGGTAACTTCTTAAACAAAAACCATTGCTGGTGAATGGTAGGCAAATGCTGACGAACCATAAGGACAATAATTACCAGA